CTAGAGTGAGCGGAGGCCGGCTTGAGTGAGCGGATATCGTCCTCTTTTGGAAGGCCAAACAAAGTAGTTTCGCTTTCACAACGAAGCACACAGCGCCTTCACGACATGGCGGCGGCAACAACAATACTACAGCGAGAATAAAAGTTACGCCTTCTTTCTTTGCGTGAACATTTGGGCGGCGTTATGCAAGTCTTCCCACATCGTGACTTAGACATGTGAGGGCGTGTTAGAACGAGCCGTTTTAGGTAGGCGTGGCTGACTCTTAACTTTTATAAAGAATATCTCTTTGGAATTGAGACTTTAGTCTTTGCAACTTTACAGATCTTCTTTATGCACCAAGAGCTTGTAACACTTCAAAGAGAAAGGAAAAATTGAAATCGCATCATATGACCCCTTTAACATAAAGATGAAATATGTAGACATATTTTTTCAGCTTACAAACCTACTGTCTGTCTTGCCCTGTTTTACACCTACTGTCAATCAGGAATCCGGATTGGGGTCTTCCAGACATCGATGTGCTCAGACAGCTGGCGTTCAGTAACAGAATGAGAATGGAACGAATGGTGAGGGGCAATTAATGACAAAATTTCTGAAGCCTATAAACAGAGCATCTTTTGGTGAATGTCCAGATCACTTGTCACCCTAAAATCAAAAAGAAAATAAAGCCTAGTATAGGACTATTTAGATTTTTTGCATTGTGGCATGATTCATACAACAATTAAAGGGTTAGTTCACCCAAAAATGAAAACTAGGCTGTGTTTTACTCACCCCCAAGGCATCCTAGGTGTATATGACTTTCTTCTTTCAGACAAATCCAGTCGGAGTTATATTAAAAAATTGTCCTGGCTATTCCAAGCTCTATCGTTGCAGTCAGCAGGTGTTGCAGTGCTTCAGTCTAAAAGAAGTTAAATAAAAAGCGCCCATCCGTTAAAAAAAGGGTCTCACACGGCTCCTCTTTGCCGTCTCGTCTTGCTGTCTGTCTCACACCTGAAGCGCGTGCACAAGCAGCATCTCGCACAGCGTATCTTCCGTTCTGCTGCACACGTGCAAACCGTGCGCACACACAGAGGGACGCGTTTCAGACGGCGCGCGAACACCGAGTTGATTCGTCTTACACATGTCCTCATGTTTAAACAGACACATACACACAGAATTATGTAAATAGTACCCGTCTCGATCATCATTCTCGTAAACGCAGTCGGTTATGTTTTAGATGAATGTAAACAGCTGAGAAAGAAATCGAATGTGTATCATTATACTGGATCCGTGCAGTCAGATTTAAAGGGACAGCAGCCTATAAATACGTGCTGCTGAATATGTCACTAATGTTAATCAAACAACAAAACAGCTATAACAAAGATTAATCTAAATTTAATTCATACAGTGAACACTATGCAGTGTTATTTTACACTTAATTATTACATTTCTGTATCTTAATACTACTGTTTATTTTATCTATGCTTGTAAATTGTGTATTTCTTTTTTTTTACTGACTGTTCACTTGCCTTTAATCATGTTTGAACTTTCTCAGACTATAGTTCTTGCTGTGGTATGAAGAAGTACTTAAAGTGTATGGAAAGCAAAATTACAATGATATAAAATTAGTGTCATAAATTTGTTTTTGTTTGTATGTCCACACTGATGTTAAAATGACATTTTCTGATTTGTGACATTACTTTTTATGTAATCCTAAAACACTGCTGGTCACTTTCAGAAGTTGTAGTGATTCTTTCTTTTCCAAGAAAGAATGTGAAACAAACTGGTTACATCATTTTCATTTTTAAATATTTAAAAAAAAAATTGAAATTGATTTTACACACTTTAAGCAATATCGTATTGCATATCGAATATTGCATTTTTTAACAAGGTATCGCATATCGCATTTTTCTTCAATATCGAACAGCCCTTCTGTCTATCTATCGTTCTATCATTCTATCTATCATTCTATCTATCTATCTATC